CTCAGCGGTATCTCGTCTGGCGCTGTCGTAGATGGTAGCCCTAAAATTGAAGGCTGGGAGTTGACAACTATGTGATGGGCAACTAATCAATACCTGTAGTCTTCTAGCCACTGGTCAAATTCATCCAGTCGATCTTGGATATTCTCAAAAGACGTATCATTCAGCTTATTGGCAAATACCCTCTTCAGCAACTCCTCGTTTTTCCTGAAATGTTTGCAACTGAATGCTCATCTATGAAAATCATAAATCGGTAACAGTACTTGTGTTCCTGTTCAGCACGATTCAGCCTTTTCTCGATGTACTCGCCACGATCGAGGGTGGCATTGTAATGAGCTTCGGATTCGCGAACCCATGCGTCCAATGTCGCTCCACCTACGGTGGTCCCACCGTACTAGAAAAGATATCTGGGGCTTAGAAATGAACGAAATTCTGCATAAAAAGGTGGGGAGGAGTGCAGTGAAAACAAGTTCATACCATGTGGAAGTGCTTGAGGAATTGAGTTGTGTTGAATGCGTTGCTATAAGTGAGCTGAGCGTCCAGAATCAGTTTCTCGGCCAAAGCGGTGAATTGTTCCAACGATGTGACGCCTTTGGTCATTCGTTCCATTTGGAAGCGAGCCTGTAATCATGTAAAAGATGAAGTTTTATAGGGGATGAAGGAGTGGAAATTGCAAGAGAAATGGAAAGCTTCAGAATGTTGGAAAAGCTGGGTCACGAGGGGTGTTTCGCTGCCATTTACTCACAACTTGAGGACAAACAGAAATTCGTTTCGAATAGGAACTAGAAAATATTGCTCACCCCTTCAACAACTGCAAACGCTTCTTTGGCATATTTGCTGTCCCTGACGATTCCGCCCACTTCGCCGTCGCCTTCGTCCAGTCCTCTCATGAACTCGAACATCACTAAATCATAGCCAAAAAGTTACGGTTATTAAATGAGTCAACTAGCTACTATTATGAGCGGAATTGAAGGAGGTAGAACTATAGTAGAGTTACTGCCAGATGGCAAACGTTTTACTTCAACTCTACCATTCGATTTTTTTGCGTGCTCAGAGGCATATTCTACCGACATTTTGCTGCCTCTACAGTCATTTCGCTACAGACGCCAGGGCGTATTAGGGGGCTGGGTTTGGCGCGACGCCAGCCCGCTCTCCAAAGACGTTGCGTGCAAGCGATAATAATCGCTTGAAAAAGGTAGACGCCGCGCGATGATACACCCCCCTGACTCTGCAGCAAAAGCGACTATAGTTACTTTTCTCTGATTGATTTTTTTCTTACTTATTCCCTTCTTTTTCTTATTCCTCTTTATTTCGTCAAAATTTTGCTACTGCATGCAGTTCAGTTACTCATAGCTACATCCCTCACCCAAAATGTCTACCCAAAAAACGGAACCCCTTGGAAATAAGGAAATTACTGCAAGGTTCCTCACATTCGGTGTTATTTCCGATTCGGGAAAGTCGTTTCCATGGGATTGGGCGCAGAGTAGTGAAGTTCTGATTGGCCAACGTCATCTCTAACTCATCAACCATGGTCATCAGCGGTAGATAACAGCCTTGATCACAAGCTGAAAAGAAAGGGGAGTTCAAAATCTGTCAAGGTAAAGAAGCGGAAAAGAAACCAAAAGAGAAGGCATTACAAACTTCTATGGAAGAGAACGAACAGGTGCAAACTCCTCCAATGAAAGCGTGACGATGCTGGCAACGACTGCAGTCTCTTCCAGTCACTCCGACACGACATTCGCATTGGCCAGTGAGTGGATTGCAAGCGCCGTTCAATGAGCCGTCTGGATGGGCAGTCACAGCAACCAACTGGGCAAAGAAAATCCGCCTGGCATCGATGGTTCACCGAAATAGCCCACCACACAGCTGAAAATAATCACTGATACGATTAAAAGCGTCTCGTAAGGCGCCTCCGGAAAAGGAGGTGGTAATAGCAGGTCACAGCATCAGAGAATCGGGGGATCGCACTGAAAGAGGAACTTTGGGAGGGGGAGTGGTCATGCTGACACGCCGATTTCCGCTATGCCTATCCCGGGCGCTGATGCTGCTTCAGTGAGGAGCTTTTGATCGGCACGATGCCTCCAAAACGACCCAGCGACTAAGAATATTTGGCGCGTTCATGGAAACAGGTGCTAGGACAGGATCAGAGTGCGGGATTCGTGATTTACTCTCTCATAGCCCTCGACAAGCGCGCCACGAACGACTGAAACCTTTCTAGCGCACAGGCCGAGCACTGCGGCCTCCAGAAGCGTTTACCCTGATTCCGTCTGTCTGTCTGGTGGTGGAACGCCCTCGAACGCAGTCGTTTGAGCGTTTCAGTCGCTCATCAACTGCACAGCTGAACCGGGAAGTATAAATGCCTAAAACTGATGACCCTTTTCTTACCTCTCGCAGTACTGTCCAGTGTAGCCGGGCTTGCACGCGTTACACACATACCCTCTTCCGTAATCCACTGCGACGCAAGTGTCACTGAAATGTTCAGGTAGACTTTACGCACAGCTCTTCTAAATAAACAAATGTAACAAGTCACCTAAAAGAGTTTTCCACAAGTGGGCAAGCACACTTGGTGCATGCTTTCGCTCCGCCCTCCCTCGCATCGCCAATGTAGCCACTTTTGCACAAATCACAATGATCTCCAGTAGTATTGTGCTCGCAATCCTGAATAGCAAAATAGTAGTACTGAATGGTGTGCAAAACCAGGATACAGCATAGCTGGGAGAATTCCATAGGGGTAATTTTCGTTGAGAAGATATTTGATCGGTGAGGTCATTTGAAAGGAAGTTCCCTGAATGTTTGAGATTTTCTCAACCTTTTCAAAAAAATCCAAAAAATTGACGTCGAGCCGGCTATGTACCTCGCCAGCTCTAGGAGAAATACTGGGAAAATTTTGGAAAATCGGTAGGGAGGTAGGAGATATGGGAAACTGGCGGAGAAGTCTGAGGTTAGATGGGGAAAGCAAGACCGTACTTGAAGAGAAAATCTAGAGGGGTGGACAACACCGCCGTTTCTCCGATTTTCCGATGCTGTACTACTTGTTAAACTCCACCCCCGAAAGCAACGACCAACCGTGCAGATGCAAGTTTCTGGATGGCAGGTGATTGAGTGGCCGTTGCAAGCACACGGCTCAGACCAGCCAATGAGCGCCATATCGTCCGGAGAGTTCAGGTAGTCACTGAAAGAGGAAATGTGAGCCAGTACCGAAAAAATCTCCACAAAGTGGCATTTAAGTGCTTGTGCAAGTCCGGTGACACATAAGATGGCTAGAACTCATGAGTCGCTGGCAGGTTCCAGCCTAGAAGAGTGGAGCAACCTCCGTGGGTGGCATTCCTTTGGCTAATGACGGTCAGCGCCTCCTTGCTAAACCAGCGCTGAAGACATAGTTTTCACTAAGCCTAACCTCTAATTAGAGGCAGGGATACAGAGGCGCTGACAAGAGTCCCTCCCCCCAATCCCCTCATCGCAACTGCGGTTGTGCCTCTCGCTCTCCCAGTGGGCACGATGCTGGAATGGGACGCGTTGTTATCCGCCACGTACGTCATGGTTGGCAAAGGCTGTGAAAGAGGCCACACCTCCCATTCACGCTTCCCAAGTGACAACCACCCGCCTGCAGCCATCGTGCGCGCTGCCTTTGAATAATTGGAACTGCGTCTTTTATATTATCTGTTACTTGCCTTTCCTACACTTACCGCTGTTTCTTTCTGCAGTATCCCACAGCAGGGTTTTGGCATGATGTACCCGTGAAGCCTTGAGGGCAGTTGGAACACTGCTCAACGCCAATTGCAGTTGATCCAGACACATCAGGAGACGAGGGTACGGCTACGTCCAGTGATATCTGCGACAGAAATTTCAGAAATTGACCCTTTTTAAGAAATTCGGCATCGTTTACCTCGCTCATGGTTATTGCATCTCCTCTTGCTGGATAATTGTAGGTACCACGAATGAAGACGCCTTGAAGATTTTGCAGGGCTATCATCATCTGCTTACGGGTGACTGGCAACTCAGGACTTTGACGCGAGCGCCACTCGGATTCATGGAGTCGAACCTGGAACATCCACACCCCTAATTCCTCTTATAATGGATTGTCAGTATCCCACCAGGGGATTCAATAGCTCACCTTGTACTTTCCATCCTCTTCGATCTGCATTGGGATATGTTCCAGTTCAATACGATTGTTGCCAACAAGTACAACCTGTGGAAAATATCGGAAGTACTGGTTATCGGGTCGAACTCCATCAACGCCTCGACGGTTGTCCTCGTTCCAGATCTTGAAGCAAAACTTTCACGTTTTGTTATACCATATATCGCTACGTTTTTGTGGTCGCCAAAAAGGCTTCAGTGAAAACGGAGAAGCGATTGCTGCAGAGTCGGGCCGGGGGGTGGGGGGTTTCTAGAGCATCCGATAGGCTCATTCCTTCCACAGGATCCTCTGTGTGAGGCAGGGCATCTTGTGCAGTTGAGGTTTCTTCCTGAGTTTTTCTCCTAGTTCCTAGCACTTTTACTATGATACATCCCTTAGCTAGGACTTTTACGAGATTCATTCAGCTCTTCCCAAAAATCCCGAGCGGATAGGGGTGGGGCATAGTGCACGCACGTGAAACGGAAAAACCTGGGTAAAGTCAAGGATCGAAAGCATTTTTCCTCCATCAAATATGCCCTCTCGCTGGGATATCTGCCGTGCCATGGTGTGAAGAGAAACCATGAATTTCGGTCCAAGGAGACCAGCAAACAGGCAACTCTAACGCTGATCAGCCTGGTGTATCTTCTCTGAAGAAGCACTCTTAGGGTGTGTTCATAGTTCGCGACTCAAGCGACTGCAAGCGAAGGCGCTCCGCCGCAAATCATTGGACCACTGCAGCTCCTAATACATCCACATTCAAAAACAAATACTCATTATTCTCAAGGGATGGTCTAAGAAAAGCTGAATACGGGCAGTTCCCACAGGAAGTCCAGTGAAGGAGTAAGAATGCATGGTAGAAAAGTCGGGGCGGGTGCGACAGAGTGAGGAGTGGCAGCGGCCCAATCACTAACGATGGAGCGCCCTTGTCGCATTCAGTCAAGTCGCGCAGTATAAACGCACGCTTAGTTAGAACGGGAGCAATTCTTGGACAGCATCACATTTCTGCTGTCAAGTGCCTGAAAAGCTTGTTAGTCCAATAGCAATGCGTTTGGCTATGGTGGGGCTTGTGACCAGCGTGCACCAGCGCGGACGGAATAGAGAAACGGCGCCC